TTCAGTTAAGATTCAACTTGTGGAAGTGAACTGAAAACCAAGCAATTTCAAACTTTCGGGCAGATCTAAATCTCAACTTTGACGAAAATATCAGTACTTTCGGAAAGGTTTTGAGTTAACTTGTAGATTATCCGGATTACGTTACTGGTCAAAAATGCCCCAACCGCGCATCCTTCGCAATAGAGAGCTGGTGTCCCTTATTGCCTGCGTAATGCAGCAGTGCCATGGTGATTTCGACATGTTTCTCACCGTAATTCAAGGCTTAATGGCATCCAAATTCATGAGAATGAGGCCCGAGAAGCCAATAGTCTCGTACAACAACGACCGTGACATGCACAACGCCACGGCAGCGCACAAGTTCCGGTTCACAATCGACCAACCTCCGCGTGCTCGCTGTGGCTCTACGACTGCCAGCCTTTGTCAGTACACCGAGCCCCGATCAAGTGGAGTCGCTCGAGGCACTTGCAATCCTGTGTCGACGACTGGCTGAGCCCTGTCGACTTTTCACCATTGCAGATGCATTCGGGCGTTCCGCCGAGTCCAACAGCCGCATCGTCCGCGCGACCGCAACTGCTCTGTACAAGACTTGGAGCGATGTGATCCTCTTTCGCGAAGCCTTGCTCGTAGGCCGAGTTGGTACGTGTTAACACGTATGTCTGTTGTAAGCATGTCAGTAGACACCTATGCTGGTGCGATCGAGGCGAAGAGTGGGCTCAGAGGGTTACGCACCTGTGTTGCGTTCATTGATGGGACGAAGCAATACATCAGCCGTCCGTCGGCGCGAGCCGAAGGTCAAGAGCACGAGAACCTTCAACGTTCGGTGTACAACGGTCACCCCCGTCGCCATTGTCTGAACTGGCAAGGCATCACCGTTCCTGACGGCATCATTATCAGCATGTACGGGCCGGTAGAGGGGCGGCGCCACGATTCCACCATGCTCTCCATGAGCCGTATACTGGACAGGATGAAGGAAGACGGGGTTCTGTCGCGCTACTGTTTGTATGGCTACCCAGCATATGGATGCCACCAGTGCCTATCCTGCCCATTTCCCTGCGCTATTCCAGGATCATTCGAGGCTATTTTCAACTCGTCCATGAGCTCCGTCCGGGAAACGGTGGAGTGGAGCTTTCACCTGGTGAAAGGGTTGTGGTGTTTCGTAAGCTACGACAGAAAGATGAAAGTTCGCAATGCACCAGTAGGCATCCTGTGGCATGTGGCCACACTCCTGACTAACTGCCACACCTGTCTCAAAGCTGATGGGAATCAAATCTCAATGTACTTCGATGTAGCACCTCCTAGGATTGAATGAATACTTGATCTAATTTGTGTGATGTAATCTAGTTTAAAAATATTCCTAATTAGAATTGCCTAGTTTAGTAATTTGACGGTTACAAGTGCAAGTTAATTTCAAAAGGAAATCCTTGCACTAACATGAAATTCAATATTATTACAATAAAAATATGACGTTCAAAGCGATTTCAACGTCAAAACAACATTGGGTGGAAAATATGCATATTCACTCGTCAAAACTCCTATACACTAGTATGGCCTAATTGTTGGTCTACATCACTATTTTGAATTTGAATTAGGTTGAAATTATTCCTAATCGGACTTAAATACAATTTTTTAGCAATTGCTCCAACTAAATCTACCAAGACACGTTGTTGCGCAGCAAGCTGCTCAGCATGGCGATTAGCTTGTTCACGATCATATTGTAAACGCTGCGCCTCACGCCGCTCCTTGTCCTCAATGCCTTCACGAATGATGCCCATAAGGCTCGCTATATCGAGGGTTGGAGCTGGTTTCTTCGACTTCTTGCGCCGCTTGATCGGAGTGATCTCAGCGTCCTCGGTCTTCTCGGCAGACATTCCAAGCTCTGCCATGGCCAATTGGCGCATGATCAATCCCGAATTCTCGACGCCTTCCAGTTTCCGCTTCGCAGCATCCTTGCGCACGGCTTCGTTCTCGGCAAAATCGTCCACGCGCAACTTGATGTCTGTCAGGAGCTGGTCACGTTCAGACTACTCCTCGGTTGTCCCCGACTTGCGCAAAGACGCACTCTCCCCCTTCTCGTGCTTTGCCAACAGGTATTCGAACCTGGTCTTCAGCGCGCCCGGCTTCTTCACCATTGAAAATCCAGGCATGCGGTTCAACTCTGTCGCAACCTCGGCCCAGATCGTCATCACCTTCCCGTATTCACCCTCCCACGGTCGCGACAGGGACACCTGTTGGAGCAGCATGATGTCGTGGCAACATGCGAACTTTCCTGTGGGAAGCGGCGTGGTGTCGCTTTCGTCAGTTGTTGTAGCCATCAACCAAAGAAGAGAATGAAGGACCTGTATTATCCGTAGATATATCTGTATCTTGCAACCTTGGACGTCCATCCACTTTTGAGATAAGGTGCCTTCTATCTGAAAAGTTGTTCAGATCCACTGCTTTATCAAGATCCATTTATACAGGATAATTAATATTGGTAGGATATTTTGCTATCTCAACTGAAAAGTGGCGCTCCGAAAACTCTCTAATAATACTAGTAGTATTAATACTTAAGGAGGGTTTTAGCCATGGAATAGCCAAAAAAGATGAAAAGCACAATAATATTTATAGTACTTCGAAGTATTAATAATACTAGTAGTATTAATACTTCGAAGTCAGACGCCCCAACCACAAGCCAACAGCGGCTTGTTGTTCCCACGGTGCTGCCACCAACCGTCGTGAAAGTGATGACCCTAGCACTTAGTGCTTTGGTCACCACCACAACGGCCCCTTTGGACGACTTGGACTCGTGGACCACCGCCGAGCCCATCATGGTGGCCTTCCCCGCAGCCCTCACCCGTGTGCTCCTAGACTCCCTCGGCGACCTTCGCCCGCCGCCACCCTCGACTTCACGTGCGGCATCTTCGGCTGCTGTTTCCCGCCGGCCCATCCCACTCGTCACCACCGTTCAACTTGACCACCGCATGGAAAAAGCACAAGCACATCTCCACGAAGTCCAAGCATCCGCCGAGTCCAACAGCCGCCAAGTGTACCGAGCGCGCCGCAAACTCGGGCGCCTCAACAAGGCCCATGCCAGAGCGCACCTCCGCCACCACTTCGTCACCAACGAGAAGCGCTGCGTCGAGTCGATCTTCCGCCAAGCCAACGGCCTCTCCCCCAAGTCCATGTCGTGTGCCATCCCAACCGACGACTTGGTCAAGCACTTTGCGGCAACCAACCGCCCGCCAGTGGCCTTCGACCCCCAGCGACCAAGTGGCGACAAGTTCCTTGGCCTCCTGGATGCCCTTCCCCCAGCCGACTTCAACGGCCAAGTGTTCGTCGATGCCATCACCATGGACGAAGTCGAAGACGCCCTCAACGCAGCCAACTTGACCTCCGCCCCGGGCCTGGATGGACTCCAGTACCGCATCTACTACCGCTTCCGCTTGGCCCTTTTGCCTCTGCTCCACGCGATCTACAACAAGTGTTGGTCCAACAAGCGCGTCCCTGCGGCTTGGAAGGTGAGCGTGACCGAGTTAATAATACTAGTAGTATTAATACTTCGAAGTATTAATAATACTAGTAATATTAATACTTCGAAGTAGTATTAATAATACTAGTAATATTAATACTTCGAAGTACTATAAATATTATTGTGCTTTTAGATTAGGATAACAATCATTTGGGGCCGCCACAATTGCCCGGGCTCATGGAACGATGAAGAGATGTGCCGAAGGTTGCAGGAGTTGCTGGCTGATGGTAGCCGCGTTGCGCCGGGAATGAAGTTGGCGACGGACTCAGCTTTTCCTGTCGGTGGCCTAGCGTTGGTCGAATCGTCACGGCGTTGAAGCAGAGCGACTTGGAACGATACCCACCCGAGTGTCGCCTTGGACTGCAGACAATGAGCGATTGTATTACGTCACTCCGTCAGGCTGCAGAGTGGAGAATGGTGGTCGACCCAAAGGTTTACCGACAGCTCATGCTACCTCTACCCTTCAATCCAGCTTTGCGCTCAGCAATATGTTTCGACTTTACAACTACCGTGTCCGGCGTACAGGCATAAGTCAGATTAAAAATGTGTTTGGAATTTAGCAAGTTCTTTGTATGCATTTTGGCACCTTCAATATGTCCTGATTCAACCACGAACAAGCATAATGCCATGGAAATTTAGTTGAATTGTTTTCGTCTTCCTAGCTTCGTTTTGACATTTTGGACACATTTTTCACGAAATTCACCAAAGTGGAACTATCTTTTGGAAAAGTGTGCCTAAACTAAATATATATTCCTAAAATTGGTCTATTTAGGACTATTTCTCCAAAGTTTGTGAAGCAAGTATTGCAAAGCAAAAATTCATCTCGAAAGTTTTCTTATTTGCTACTCCCTCCGTCCCAAAATACTTGCGTAGTTTCCGGGAGGGGGGAAATGACACGTCATTATATTTTCAAGTGATTTTCAAACTTATCTGTCGTCTGCCCATCGTCGAATTTCTCGTGTTTGATTGGTTTATGTGAACAAGCGCGCCAAGTCCTGTCAAGTCATGTGTCAGCGAGGGAAAAATACACAGGAACCATCGCAGAAGTCGTCCACAAAGTTTTCATACTTTAAATCATATAAAATAGTGATCAACATTCGCAATGCGTGTCAACAAGCGTGACCTGACGAACGATGACCGCGAGGCCATCATTCGGGAGATTCTGCTGAACAGCAGTAAGACCTCGTTGGCCAGATTGCCCAACGGCATTGCGTAGGTGCTTGCAGAGAAGTACAACTGCAATCACTCCACCATTCGCCGCGTCTTTGCTCAGGCAAAGGAGCAAGGGGTTACCACCGGCAACATGAAAGTTTCGGTTGCGAGCAGAAAGAAGGGTCGGGTGGGTAGGAAGTGGGCCTATACCGCCGAGCAGGTGAAAGCAAAGATATTGCGAGTACCACTCGCCCAACGCACAACACTGCGCTCAATCTCGGAGCTGACAGGTATACGTCAACGACAATACTATAGAATTAGTCAAAATGGTCTTAGGAATAAGCCGCGGTTCCCTGCACCGGTATCTCAAGCTCGGAATCTTTCGTTCGCACTCTGTATCCGTCCCAGCTTGACCGATGCCAACAAGTACAGCCGCATGAAGTTTGCATTCAACTTCGTTCGAGCGAATATAGAGTTCGACGACATGATGGACTACGTCCATTTGGACGAAAAATGGTTCTACATCACCAAGACAACGAGACGGTACTATCTGGTTCCTGGCACGAAGGAACCTCAACGGACGTGCAAGTCAAAGAGGTACATTTCCAAATTTATGTTTCTCAGCGCCGTGGCCCGACCTCAGTACATGGTGGGACGGCAAGATTGGAACTTGGCCGTTCGTTGAGTCCGTCCAAGCCCAGCGCAACAGTGCCAACCGACTGCAGGGATCTATGAAACCAAGGCGTTGACCGTGACCAAGGACGTATACCACATCGATTGGAACTGTCAGATTTTCCATATCTCGTCGTTTCATTGGATCTGAGGCACTTGGATCCCATGTTTTCATTGGCCACTTGTATCGTTACAACTCTAGAAGTTGATGCAAAGTATAAATTTTTGCAGGGTTTTTCATTTTATTCAAGGAGCCGTACAGCATTTTTCTGATCTACGCAAGTATTGTGGGACGGAGGGAGTACTACTCTGGTCTGATATCTTGCTCACATTGTTTTGACTTGATTTAAGTATACATTGCAACCTCAAAACGTCTTGTTTTTTGTATTGAACTCTGAAATAGAATAATTAACACCAAAATTTTAATGTATTTTTATTATTATTCAAAGTCTACTGCTTCTTGGGAATTGACCAGCTTCTCGAGATGAGACTCTTCTCCAAGGCGATTGCCCAACTGAAGGAGTGCTCCTTCAAGGCTTGATTCATCACCTTGCACGTTATATGCTGTTAAGTCCGTAATGGTAGCCCTTATTCATACGTGGAAGCTTGTAATTATTACTTCCTTGCATTGCAATAGACGTTGCATCACTTTCTGCAGCGTAATATATGTTTTGGACAATGTATCCTCTGACAACTCATAAAACGCGACTTTTACAGCATCAATTAGTTCCTCGATACTTCGAATACATTTTTGATGCTGCAGGCTTTGAATAGAATGAAAAAAACCTAAATCTAAGACATTAAAGTCTGGACTGTTTGGTGGCTGGTTAATAACACCAATGTTTCGACTCCAGCAGCACGCAGCAGAGACGTCGTGACTTGTCGATGAGGACTTGCATTGTCCTGTTGGATTCGGACACCACGCGACAGGTAGCCAGGGGGAAATTTCTTGATGATGGCAGACACAACTCTCCCCAAAATAAACGCCTTGTACACCGTACCGTTGACATTTTTTGGAACCGTAAGAGGGGCTCCCTTGGGCCGATTCTTGCTGCCTCGAATGGCTGGGGCCACTTCAACGAATGGCCAGACCCCGATCTTGCCATCGAAGCTCACCTTGGTGGAGGGGTTGTACCGCGGTCGTGCCACTGCAGCAAGAAACATTACCTTGGCGATGAAGTTCTTGGACTTAAGAGATCGGGCTGCGACTTCTTCATCTTCGTACACATAAAACTTCTTTTTGACTTCTGTCAAATAGAACCATTTTTCATCAACATGTACAACATCGTGCATGTTGGAGAAACTGGTTCCATTTGACAACGGTCGGAGGAAGCTTTGTGCGAAAGCCATCCGTGTCTTCGTGTTTTCGTCTGTGAGCATCGGCTTCACGTAGCTTTACCGAGCCTTCAGTGTACCGTGTTGCTTCATGTGGGTGAGTAGCGTCGTCTTGGGGATTTCGGAGTTGGCTGCCAAAGTTCGTGTTGTTTGGCGTGCATGATGGGGCACCGCCTGCACGGCGGCTTTGATTTCTTCTGCGGTGCGCGTTTTTTTGCGACCGGAATTTCCTAATATAGTACACCTTTAGAAAGTAATACTTATATCAACGAATACTTTTGGAATATATAAAATTATACAAGTTTTACCTCTCATTTTTGCCGCGACGCCATGGTTCTTGCTTTGTGAGTGCCGTCCACGATTCCAGATGCGAGTTATCGTCCTCGGGTGGCAACGAAAGGCACATGCAACCTCCTTATATGCACCATAAGGAATCTTTCCTCCCTGGGATCGCTCTAAGAGCTGGACAAAGACGGCCCGGTGCTGGACGAGTTTAAGGTTCCGTTCAGGCCTCCCGTCTACATTTCGAGTCGCGCAGAGCCCCGCTTGAGCCACACGCATCGTCAAAGGTGTGGGGATGGTTGGGTAGTGACTTGAACGCAGTTAATTGTATAATGAGCTCTCTCCGGAGAGTTTTGTCTATCAAAAATTGACTGGACAACTTTGAGATGTTGTAAGTTTTGAAGCAAAACGAACTAGAATGCGCGAAAGCTACCCAATCAAAACTGAGATCTTGCGCCTTTTGACGCACCAATCAGCTACTTCCAAAAGTATTTGTTAGAAAAATGCCGCCAATAGCAAAACAATATGACCAAGATATCAGACCAGAGTAGTA